CGAAAGTGTGAAACAAAGTTATAAATTGGTAATGCATTCGTAGCTGATAAATCATTTTTGTTTGTTTGTCTAATCAGGCTCAGATGTCAATGTTAAAGACGCTAGATCAACTGAGGGCTAAGAACAAAGGTAAATTTTTACCGTGACTGGAATGCCTTCTTAAAACTATCGATTACATCTATTGCGTAGTTCTTTTCTGTTCGATTGACTGACTGAACCATTTTTTATTTGATTGACTGAACTCAACAGAGCTACAAGCTGACTTTGACAGCGTCAAAGCAGGAAAAGAGGCTCTCGCCGCCAGAGTTGAAGAGCTTGAAAATGCAGGGACATGTAACACTGCCACTCAAATGAAAGCAGATTCCTTACAAATGGCATTAGAGGAGAGTGAGAGAGAGAGGAACCGACTTCATCAAGATCTGAAAGAGTTGCAAAAGGTGTGCACTAGTCTTGAAAGCGATGTGGCTCGATTACAGAATAAAATTGCCAACGCTAGGCAAGAAGATATTCAGTCTGAGGAGGAAAAGTCTTTTTGTCAGCAAGAGGCATCGGAGAAGATAAGACAGCTGGAGCTTCAAATAAAAGAAATGGAAGAACGGTTGTCTGGTGTAAATGAGCAAGAAGGAAGACTAACGGAGGCCATTGACGAAAAGGTTCAGTTGGAAGAAAGCAAGAAACTGGAAATTTCTTGCTTAGAAGAAGCACTCGATGAGATGACAAAAGAAAAAGGACAACTGGAACAATCCTTGCAAATGTGGAAAGACAAGTGTGCTAGTCTAGAAACAAATGCGGCTCTTTGTGAAAAGGAAAAGTTCTGCCTTGAGGAGAAAATGACGTTTGCCAAGGAAGAAGCTTCTGAGAAGATCAAGAAACTTGAGGAACAAGTGAAAGAAATGGTGGAAAGAATAGCTAGTGTAGATGAACAAGAAGGGATGCTGACAGAGGTGATTGAACAGAAGTTACAGCTAGAGGAGAACCACAATGTTGAAATGACATCTCTTAAAACGGCTCTCACTAACTTAGAGGAATCACTAGATGAAGTAACAAAGGAAAAAGGAAGATCTGAAGAAGCCTTACAACAGTGGAAAGACAAGTGTGCTCGTCTCGAAACCAATGAAGCTCGTTATGAAGAGGAGAAGCTTCGCCTTGAGGAGAGGATGGCGTTTGCCGGGGAAGAAGCCTCAGAGAAGATCAGGAAACTTGAAGATCAGGTGAAAAAAATGACGGAAAGGCTAGCGAGTGTAGATGAACGAGAAGGGATGCTGACAGAAGTGACTGAACAGAAGCTACAGCTAGAAGAGAATCACAACGTTGAATTAACATCTCTTAAAATGGCTCTTACTGGCTTAGAAGAATCACTAGATGAAGTTACAAAGGAAAAAGGAAGACTGGAAGAAGCCTTACAACAGTGGAAAGACAAGTGTGCTAGTCTCGAAACCAATGCAGCTCTCTATGAAGAGGAAAAGCTTCGCCTTGAGGAGGGGATGGCGTTTGCCGGAGAAGAAGCCTCGGAGAAGATCAGGAAACTTGAAGATCAGGTGAAAGGGATGGAGGAAAGGCTGACGAGTGTAGACGAACAAGAAGGGATGCTGACAGAGGTGACTGAACAGAAGTCACAAGTTGAGAACCACGAAGTTGAAATAACGTCTCTTAAAACGTCTCTTACTTTCTTAGAAGAATCACTAGATGAAGTTACAAAGGAGAAAGGAAGACTGGAGGAAGCCTTACAACAATGGAAAGACAAGTGTGCTGGTCTCGAAACCAATGCAGCTCTCTATGAAGAGGAGAAACTTCGCCTTGAGGAGAGGATGGTGTTTGTCGAAGAAGAAGCCTCAGAGAAGATCAGAAAACTTGAAGATCAGGTGAAAGAGATGGAGGAAAGGCTAGCGAGCGTAGATGAACAAGAAGGGATGCTGACAGAGGTGATTGAACAGAAGTCACAGCTAGTGGAGAGTCATGAACGGGAAGAAACATTTTCTAAAATGGCACAGGAGGAGATCTCTGAAGAAAAAGAAAGCTTAGAGCCGTGGAAGGAAAGGTGCTGCACTCTCGAGAGCGACATGACGGGGCTCCAGGATGAGATGGCTTGTGTAAAAATGGAGAGACTGGAGGAAAGCCTGTCTAGCGTCAAAGAGGATGCTTCTGTGAAGATGAAAGAACTGGAGATTGAGCTGGAAACGTTGAAAGGAAAATTGAGCGACGAGGATCAGAATAAACGAATGTTGGCAGAAGTAAACGAGCAAAAAGGGAACTTAGAAGAAATCGTTGCACGTTTAGAAACAGAACTGGTTCAAAGAAAAGATTTGAACGAAGACAAATGTAACATTGAAGCGCGCTTTAAACAATTTAAGGAAGAAAAGGAAGCGGAAATTATGGAACTGAAGAAAGAGATACAAGGACTTCAGGATCAGCGGAATATAAGTTCATACGGTGTCGAAGAAAAAGACAAGATGATGGAGCAAATGATTGACCAAAAACGGGAAATGGAAGCTAAAATGGTAAGCTCTTGAGTTATTTCGGTTTGTTAGTCCTGTTGTTGATTGTTCGAGATCTGGAAAGGTATGCTCTTGAAGAGCCAATTCTAATCCCAGATATCAGTTTCAATTCTTTTTCAAAACATCTATGTGCCTTGGAGTAAATCAAAAAGGAGATGAAGTTGCACTCGCCATAGCTAGCGAGCGTGAGTGGTCCGATAAGCTTAAACTGAGGACAGTGGCATTCGTTTGGTAACAAACGAAGATGAAAATCGGTAGTAATTGTTATCTGCGATAACGCCTTTGGACAGAGCCACATAATGCAATGCTTGATTTTATTTTTTTCGCGATGTTAACTCCACTTTTCTTGGTACTAAACACAAGTTTTTAAAAGGATACCCTTCCAGACGAATCTGTGGGTTCCTTTCTTTTCTGCTCTGCGCTGAATAGACCAATCCCTGCATACAACTGCACATATTCTCTGTCGCATTGCAATCTATAGAAGGAGAATAGAAAAGACGTATTGCTAGTTTTTTCAGATCTATTGCCACTACAGATGAAAAACATTGCCCATGTGTAAGACTTGTTAGGATGGACGGCACAGATACGAGACTAATTTAAGACGTAATGTATTGCGCACGTCTGAAATCGATTTAAACGTTTCAATTTCTGTCTGTTTAGTGAAAGGTGAAATTTTTTCTTTTTTATTTTAGTCTGATCTTCAAATGCAGCTCGACAACGTAAATAACGAAAAGGAAGAGTATGAACAAATGTTAAATAAGTAAGTGTTATCTAAGCAGAATTACTTGTTGATTTTGGTTTGCTTTTGTTTGTTTGTCTGTTTCCCACAGTTATTAAACAAGTGGAAAAAGCTGAATGAATGTTTTGTCGTTGCCGTCATCTCTTTGCTTAAATGCTCCGTATTCGACTTTAATTTTACTTCGAACTAAATGCTTCAAATAGTGCTCATCCCTTATATACGAGCAAACATCTCTAGAACAATTTTCAATTGTTTTGAGTTTGTGTTATTTCCGTCAGGGTCAAGAAAGAAAAAGATGACATTAGAAACGATTTATCAGAGTCCATTTCTGATGTAAGTAATAAGATATCTATCATTTTATTCTCTTTGTATGTCATTGGATTTTCGTCTTTGCCTTTGCTTTTTTCGTTGTTTTCTTGAAGCATTTATCCGTAGATGTAGCCAATTTTTTTTTTCAAACACTGGATACGCACGGGTCAGATTGTCCCCTAACTCAAGATACTGGATCAAGAGGTCTGGGCCTGTGTCTCGATGGGGCCCTTGCAGTTACATCTTTTTTGTTTGTTTGTTTTTTATTATTATAATTTATTATTGTTTATTTTTATTATGAGATCAATAGTTCTAAAACAAAAACAAAGAAAATACCAGGCAGTGAAAAAGAGAGAATATATTTTTCTTACTCAGTCCGCCGAATTGCAGAAGGACATGTTAGACATGCAACAGAAAGTGAAGCGCTACAAGGAACACATTTATGAACTTGAGAGCGAACTACAGCAGCGAGCAGAGCTCTTAGCATCACACGAACAGAAGGTAACAGGTGTCTGCCATTGATGTGCTATCATTGAGCAAGATCATCGAATTGTTTGCTTTGTTTTACTTACTTCTCTAACTATTTCGTTGTGATTTGTTTATTTGCCTGTTTTTTGTTTGTTTTTTGTTTTACGTGTGGTGAACCTGAACAATTCGACATTTTTATTCTACCAATCTATTGCGTACCTAATTGCTTTCTTTCCCGTCTTATATTCTTTTTTTTTTTCTCATCCATTTATCCTCTCTTCTTCCATACATGGTTTAGAATAGTTTATGCCAACCATCTAGATCTTGAGTCGGAGTCTTGACTCCAGAAGTGCACAGGAATATTTATGGAATGATCTTTCTTGTTTACAACAGACTGAAGAACTTCAAAATCAACTCAGCGAAGTGATGAAGCAGCTTGAAAACGTATCCCAAGACGTGAATAAGAAACTGCTAAGCGAAGAACAGGCTTTAGATCAACAGAATGAGAAGAAGACAGATGATGATATGCTCGCCTCTAAACTGAGAGCAGAACAAGAGCGGGCTCAAGAAGTTGCAGATGAATGCAATACGTTGAGGTTATCTCTGGAAAATGTCCAAAATCGAAATGAGATTTTAAAGTCTGAGGCAGAAGAGACGAAGCAAGAAGTGGAGAAACAACGACAGGAAATAGAGAGCTTAGAGTTGCAGCTAGTAGAGTCTAAACAAGCTTATGATTTGTGCAAGGAAAAGCTGGAGGAGCAAAGAGAAAAGTGCGAAAAACTTGTAAAGGACCTGAACGAGATGAGGACCTCTGAAAGTCTATCAAAAGAGCCATCAGGGAGCTTAGCCTCTGAGTTGGAACTGCAAAAGGCAAAGAATGAAAGCGAGGAACTTTTTAAGGAGCTGGGAGAGGAAAAGAAAGCTCACGAAACACTCAGGTGAATAAAACCTGTTTGAAGTGAGTCTCATATTAGGTGGACTCTAAGTCGATTCCGCATTTCTCTCTTTTTGGAAAACGAACTTTTTGTTAGCCGACAAACCCTTTAACCCTTCACATCTTAA